AGAGTTGAGTGGCTACTGTAGAAATCATATGACCCATGAACACTAACACATTTCACATCTAGCCCTTTATAAAAACAGAAGAAAAAGGAGAGGGAGGGAGGAGAGGAGTGGAGGAGAGGGGAGAAAGAAAGAGGAGGGGGAAGGGAGGGAGGGATAGAAGGAGGGGCAAAGACAGAAGGGGAGGAGAAAAGAAAAGAGGTCCGGGGCTGGAGAGACGGCTCAGAGACTAAGAGCACTGGCTGCTCTTGTAGAGGACCTGGGTTCGATTCCCAGCACCACATGGCAATTAACAACCATCTGTAATTCTAGTTCCAGGGGATTCGATGCCCATCTTCTGACCTCCGTGAGCATTGCACAACACAGATGCACTTACATACATGCAGGCAATACATTCAAACACATAATAGCAAATAAAATATTTTTTAAAAAATGAAGGCCAAAAAGTTGTTCACTTTAGTTCTAGATCATGGGGGGATTACATTTTGTAAAATAAAGTTTCTTTAAATGTTTTCTAAACCCTCTAGAAATGAGTCCACTTGGGATGAGAGGGCTAGATATAGGAGACTCCCCCCTCCCCCCGCCTCAGGAAGGCCTGATGTGTACACAGGGGTGTAAATGGAATGATGCTGGCTCACTGCCAACATCCCATACCATGTCATGTGAACACAAGCAGATTTGGCATCCATGCGGTGACCTGGCAGGGGCTTCTCCCTTCAGCCACGCACATCTTTGCTCACCAGTGATACCAGACACCACGGGGACTTCTCAGACTAACACCTTCTGTGTGTGTGCACCAGCTGAGGGCCTATAGTCCAGACAGCCCACCACAGAGCAGGCTTTCAGGCAAACAGGCATGGGCAGAACATTCCTTAGCCTCTTCTCCAACGGCATCTAACATCAGCTTTTGTTCCATCTATGAGTCAATCTCAGGAAGGGAGAGCTTCAGAGCGGGGCCACAGCTGAAAAGGAGCTTGGCAATAAGAATCGCATCAGAATCAATAGGGCATGACGCACACGCACCCAGTGAGGTCAGAACTGCTGGGATTGATGCTGCATATCCCACTGAGCAACACAGGGACACAGATTTCAGATTCTGGGAAGAATCTCTGAGCCCACAGCTTTAACTGCACCAATGCACAACTCACCAGAAATCTATGTGTAGCCCACTGGCCACCAAATCCTGGTATATGTACCTGAGCAGTCTTCAAATGCTACCCTCCATGGTGACAGTGGGGATGGGCCCAGGATTGGGAGTCACCAACATCCTGACTGTTCTGGACAGGATCGTTACCTGGTTGTCATCAACAACACAACAGGAGCCAATACACACAGCCCTGGCACTCAGTGGTCACATGGATTTGAGCAAGTCAGTTAATCTTCAAGCCTTGTTTGTCTTTTCTACAAAACAGGAATAAATGGTACTTTCCTCACAGGATGGCTTAAATGATTTAAAATAATGGCTATGAACCAATGCCTGACATTGAGGATTTTCACAACATACTGTATTGTTTTCTCATAAGAAGACACTGATAACGAGAACACTGATCTGATATTTAAGCTCACTCCCACAGGACAACAGGCACCCACGCGCGTGGAAAGCTGTGTCCCAGGAGACAGGGCCTGCATGCTCCACATGGAGTGACTGCAAGTATCCCTGCTTCCCTCATCTTAGGCGCCTTCCTTGATGCAGATATTGGAGGCCCATTCACAAATCTGTGACCTAATTACTAACTCCTTGAGGACTCCCAGGCAGGCCCTATGAAGCAATTGAATGTCAGAAGGGAACTCTGCGGGGTGGGGGCGGGTGTTGGATGAAAATCACGAGCTTCAGTCACTAGGAAGGACAAAGATTGCTAATGGCACGTGTAACCACAGGAGGCCATCAAGGAGGCCTCATACAGCTCTAGTTGCAGACAGAAAAATACATGGGTCCTCTGAGTCTCAACAAGTAGTCTACGGTCTAAGAGATCTTGCATTAAGGCTAAAAAGCTCTGCGAGGAAGGCGGCTAAGCAAGTGTGTCCTGGGATCGCAGTGCAGCCTGTGCCGGGTCAGCTGGTTGGTTGGAGCCACTGGGTTGCGCTCATGAAGTTCAGGCAAGAATTCTGGCGTGGATAAAATTGCTTTCTCACGGCCCAGTAAGAATCACAGCCCACTGAAAATTAGGTTTGGAGTAAGAGTGTATGCCAACCCAGGTGTGTGTGTGTCTGTGTGTGTGTGTGTGTGTGTGTGTGTGATTTGCACATACCAGAGGCATGTATTCCCAAATGGTGACCCCTGTTTAATAGAACATAGCTTTCCAAAAGGCACGTGGGTTTCTGCTTGCCTTTGCAGCTAAGAGCTGGAAACTGAGTTTCTCTTTATTCCCCTCTTTAGTCCTTGGTGTTTTCCGTGGTGTTGGATATTATGGTGGAAATTGCCCAGACTCACGTGACACCTCTTTCCCCTCAAAAACTAAACCTCAGGCAGATAGGGCAGGAAAAAAAATTTAAGCTTGAAGACATTCAAGAACACTCAGTCCGGCCCCTCAAGCTACCCAGTGAAGGAAGTAAGCCCCGAGCCCTGGTGTGGTGGTCCATATTCACGGAGCTAGAAAATAGCAGATTGGTGTTCAGTGTTCCCCTGGGTTCAGGGATCCTTCTTAAAGGACAGGATGAGGCCCAGTGATTTAAAGCCAGGCTCTAGATGGGAGTCTCTGGGACATTTGATTATTATGAGGGAGGTCAGCCCCACAGGGGGCAGAATTAGCCTGTATCACCTGCCAAAGAAAACCCCTCAGTGGAGCAGACTGCAAAGCCGCAGACAAAACCCGGCTCCACATTAAGCCAAAAAGAATTTGGGGGAAGCTTCTTCGCTTTTGCGCCTCTGCTCCAAGATGGGTGTTTGAGACCTGAGTCTGGTTATTTTTCAGGATCCTCAGGTGAAATTTTCTACAAATCCAAATGATTATTTTACACCAGGAGATAGAGCATCAAGTTACAACCACACAGGTTGCCTATTTCCGGAATCACCAATGAGTCAGGAACATGAGGTGATCAGCTGAAGCGATTGCTTTCAATACTGAAGTGGGGTTTATCCTTGGAGCACGGTGGGGTGGGGTGCTGTGTGCATCTCGGTGGGTGCAGTGAGTCTGTGGGTTCAGGCTTTTCAACAGTTTAATCAATCTGAAAACCATATCA